TATGATGCAGATAGCTCCGTGGCCTCACTGTGTTAGTCATTCATTGCCATATTGTTCCAGCAGCTGCTTACCAACATGCTTTAGTTATCTAAAGAATTACTTCTGGTAATTTTGAAATTAGGGAATGCTGTTTTAAGGCTCAAAAGTGTAATTCTCACCCCAGTTTTTTGCTTTATTTCTTTCTGCATATGTACAAACAAATGTGGAACTAATGTACTATGGCACATACTAGAAAGGACCTTAGAAATCAATTTACCCAATCTCCAACCCTGTATTCCCTTTTACAGTGTTCCTGACAAATGGTCAGTCTTAACCTGCTGAACCATTCAGATTCACTGCTGCATAAGACAACCCTTTCCAAAGTTGAATGGTTCCTGTTTCTAGTTTTTCTTGGTCTTGAGATTAAATTCTCTTTATGATTCGGACCAGTTGACCATGTGTTCTGCCTTTTATACTCCAAACCTTTAAACATTTGAAGATTTTTAGTTGTGTAACTAATTGCTGGACTAAACATAGCCAAGTTTTCTCTTCATTTCATTATGTAGCATGATTTTCACAGTCAGACTCGTGCTGGATACACTCATGAATGTCCTGTATTAGTGTTTCCTCTCAGTGTGACATCCAAAGTAGGCTACTGTATTCCTAGGATGGTTTGATTATATAGTGTGCTCTTCACCTGCATTGTACACTGGATGATATTTAGATATATATTTGTACCTTGTGTATAGTATATATAGGTTTAAATACTGCAGTAATTTTAGGTGTAGTATTTCAGTTAATTAAGATTTGTTTTGCGGTTAGAATAATGGCTGTGAATGGTTTTCTCTTCTTGACCCACTCTCATATACCACCTGAAGTTGTCATGTGTTCTCAAGGATAGTTTACAGGAACATGGGGTTTGTGAAAACCTGACAGATCCTAACTATAACTTAGCTAGTGGGCAGTATTATAATTTATTTATAGCTGTGTAATATAGTTATTAATGAACTAAGTTGGAATGAGGGCAAATCTTTTATTTTTGTGTGAAATTATATAATAAGTATTCAAAAAATGTTAACCTTACTTGCAATAAATACAGTTAATAATGTACATAAAAGAATGAAATTAAACTAATTTTCTATCAAAAAAGAATTATTCATGAACAGAAAGTGGACAGCATAAATTTGATGACAGGAAGGTTGTATCTAATCTGAATTACTGAGTGACCTAGGAAGCTTGCTCAGAGGGATTACAGAATAATTATGTTAATATGCAATTATCACCTCATTTCTTCTGTAGTAACCTCAAGATGTAGTGTAGTGAGGGTGTTATAGCAAGTGCTGATAGTTTGCAGAAATACTGATGTTTGAGATTTCTGAGACAATAAGTCTAGCTTGAGGCATATAAATGATGATCTGTCATCTTGAAGACAGATCTGACCTTTGTACTTTTTTTTTTTAATGCTCACAGTATATAACTACAGGGAGTTATAGCTGTAGAACTCATTATGATTTTCTAGAAACTGAAATACATTTTATGTAGATTTAAAATTCCATTTACAGCTTTTTATAAAGTGTGTGAATTGTTTTTAAGTATGTTTTTAAATTCAGTTAAAAGAAAAATTCTATGGTTATATGATTACATGTGAGAAGACGTAGTAATGGTATTCAAACATTTTCTGAAAAGATCCTAATGGATACAGAAAATTCGTTGAAATTTAGGAGTCTCAAATAACATAACATTAGTTGGTTTATTATACTTTATGAACTTGCTTATTTTAAACTTAACCAATGAATAATGCCTACTTCAAATATGTTCCGTACTTTATAATATTAAGTAACTGGTGTTGATGACTCTATTGTATGTATTTGATTATAAGATTAAAAGGTAGTTGAAAACTATTTAATACAGTGTAAAATTAGCTTATGGTTAAATGCTTTCTTGTCTGGATACCTGTGGCATCCATGAACGTAGGGAGAGAATAATTTTTTATGTCAAAATTCTAGATCCGTTATTCATTGCAACAGATTCTGATGATCCATTGTCCCGCATTGGATCTCAGTGCAACTGCTGTGGGTCTTAAATGTAGTTATTAAGAAAAAATGTATTTTTAACATTGATAGTTAAAATATATTTTGAAAATTAAGCGAGGAAAATTTTTAATTACTGCTAAAATGCTAGCTTACTGAGTCAATTTCTGATGCTGTACATTTTTAATATTAATGTGCCTCCCAACTTACCTGAAAAAGAATAACGTAAGTGCAAAAGAGAACTTTGTTAAAGATCTCATTTTATATTTTAACAATATTTTATTTGATCTGTTTTTTGTTTTTGCTGGCTGCATTTTGTAGATAAAAGATCTGTTATGCATATATATAGTCTTCCATGTGTTTGAGCGAAACAGTTTGGTGTCTTCAGAATGTGAACTTATGGAAGGCTCTTACAAAGCCATTCTGATAATGAGGATGCAGTCTCCAAGCCGACATGATATTCTCATAGTTTGTCACCCTGCTGTTCCGGGGGTACCAGTGAAGTTGCTATAAATGGGAAGCGTCTGTTCCATCTCTGAACCTCTAACACCAGAACAGATGGGTGGAACGTGGAACATGGAAGGTTTTACCTCTGAGGTGGTAACAGTGAAGCCACTCATTAACACTGAATTTACCACTTCGTTAGCAACATTGCTTCCTGTTGAGAAAAACTAATATAGGCTTTCAAATTGACTGAGCATGTATTTGTCTACCTTTGTGATTATAATAAGGAGGAATAGAAAGTAAGTGTCTTTCAGGCTTAGATCGTTTTTAAAAATCTGTCTTCTATTTCAGATATTTATGAGATTGTTGCTATTGAGGCATTTTACTTTTTCTACTAATTTAATGAGAAAAATCAGGAAGGGGTAATAGTTTAGCATTAGGGCTTGCTTTTCTTTTCAGTGACATTTGCACACTCCTTCCTTAACACATGCTTGTGCTGCCCGTTTTTAACTTCTGTGTATGTGATGTTGAGACTCCTGCTGGGTGCTGCATTAGCACCATTTTGGAGTGATATCATTGAATATGATCTTATTGGGAGTCTATTTTTATTACTGGAAATTTGCCAGTCTCAAAATAGAGTTCTAAGACCTATGAGGGACAGGAAAGTGATTGTTGGTATAAATAATAATGCTGAAGAAAAATATTTATTTGTAGTGTTTGTTGTATAAAATCTTGTCATGTGGAAAGAATAAGATCATATTTATAAGAGCTTGTTTAAGTTATGAAATAAGAAAAAGGTAACTAGACCAATTCTTTTATTTTTGACCGAGATTTAGTTTTTAAAAAGTATGAAACTGGTCCTATAAAACATAGAAGAAATAATGAACTTTATTGAAAATGTTTTAATTTCTAAATATTGGATTGTAAGTTCCTGCTATCCTTAAATAGTATTAATTGTTTACACAAATTAAAAATACTATAAAAAATGTGAAGGCTTTATTCTTTATTTGAGAGCAGGAACCTAGTCTGTCTTGTTTACTATAATATCCCTAATACCTGGTACAGTGCCTGTCACATAGTAAGGGCTTGATAAGTATTCGGAGAATGAATAAACTATAGATACCACTATGTACAAAAGCAAACAGAGTATGGAACTTTATGGCAGTGCTTCAAATAGTTAATACTGTTTGAAGGTCCTTTGAAGTTGTTCATGAGGATTGTTGGATATTTTGAGGAACTTGCTACTGTTGCTGAGTCAGGATATCAGAACCATGATAGAACTTGCAACATTTGAATGGGGTATCCAGATTTCATAGAAAGAAGACTGTTTTTTCTTCTTATGCTTTAGGAACTTTTATTTTGATTTTACAATTGTGTTTTTATTCATTCAACATTTATTCAGTCCTTTATTCAACAAGTATTACATGAGCACCTATGCCAAAAACTCATGCTAGGTTATAGAGGTAGGTAAGTAAGTAGGTCACAGTCCATGCCCTCAAAAAGCTTACGTTCTTCTAAGGAGAGAGAAAATTCCAATACAATATGGCCTTTCTAAGAACAGGATAAGAACAGAGCTCAAAGGAAGTCTTCATAGTAGTGGAAATCATTACAACCATGGTATCTATATCTCCCAAATTTGCAGAAGTCTCCTTTCCTTTTGAAATATTCTGTTGTGTTGTTATAATGATTAAATATATTATCAGAAATACTTGGGACAATGTTACCTACATTTTATATGAATTAAACTAAAAACGTAACATATATTTATGGTGTTTATCATAAAATGCTAGAACTTGGGGGCCCTGGGTGTAGAAGTTTAAAGTAACATAAAACTTCACTAAATTCAACTTTACTGATTTAGAATTAAGAATAATTTGAAAATAAGGAATCAGTGAACCCCTATGAATAAAGAGTTTTTGTAATTAATTGGTAGAATTTTAGGAGAATGTTAAAATGTCTTGAGAGCGAAATTTCTTAAATTAAAAAAAAAAAAATCATTATTATATAATAAACCATTGATATTGATAACATATTTGTTTATTCAAATAAGATCCTTTACTGAGAGGTGTTCCGTTACCTTCCTCCATGAATGAACTCTTTTAAGTGGCAAAATTCTTACTTCTTTGCAATGTCTGTAATACAGATTAATAATAAGTAATAAATCTGCTTGAGTGAAATAATTTTCTTTTTATTATCAGTCTGTATATATGAGGGTTTAAAGTTTATTTTTCCTCTGTAGCAAATTCATTTCTACTGTGTGAGTATATATATGTGTGTATATATTTGCTTTTCCCTAGACATTTTGTACATACGCAATATTGGTTGCTGTTGTTGCCTAGCACAAAGAAAAAAAAATACCCTTTCAAGTACTTTTAAAGTATTTTAATTTTTTAAGTGTTTCTTCATTCTAAGAAAAAAATTAGGGTCTCAATATAAAAAGTAGAAAATTAAACTAATAAAAAATATGTACTTTAAACTCTCCATATACAATCTAATAGTATTTTTTTCTTTCATGCAAATCTAAATTTTTTTTTTTCCATTTTCTAGACTAAATTTGTTAAATGGGCTTACCAACAATATGGATGATATGAAGATAAACGCCGATATTACTGGTGCTAAAGAACTCCTAGATGACAACAATTTTATCTCAGAGAAAGAGAGTGGAGTTCATGAACCAAAAGATTGTCAGACATCATTTCAGAAAAACAATGCATTGACTCTGTCTGAAGAACTGTCAAAGGACAAATCTGAAAAAGCCTTAAGTGGAGGCCAGTCTACTCTATTTATACATGCTGGTGCTCCTGCTGTTTCTAGTGAAAACTTTACCTTGCCTAAAGGAGCTGCTGTTAATGGACCAGTTTCACACTCCTCCTTAACTAAGACTTCCAATATGAATAAAGGCAGTGTTTCATTAACCACTGGACAGCCTGTGGATCAGCCAACAACAGAATCATGTTCAGCTTTGAAGGTGGCGGCTGATCTTCAGCTGTCTACACCACAGAATGCAAGTCAACACCAAGTTTTGTTTTTGTTATCAGATGTAGCACATGCTAAGAATCCAGCTCATTCCATTAAAAAACTACCTACCTCTGCTTCAGTTGGTTGTGACATTCAGAATTCAGTAGGAAATAGTATAAAGTCAGATAGCACTTTAATAGATCAAGTAGAGGTGGGTGAAGATAGTGAAGATTTATTGGTAAAAAGTGATTGTGTCAGTACATTAACAGGAATTTCCTCAGGTACAGATGAATTTAGGTCAGAAAATGATACAAACTGGGATCCCCAAAAAGAGTTCATTCAGTTTCTTATGACTAATGAAGACACAGTAGATAAAGCCCCAGTTCACTCTAAAGTAGGTCAAGAAAAGAAGAGAAAGCGGAAAATGGATGTAAGCAAGATAACTCGTTATACTGAGGATTGCTTTAGTGATTCTAATTGTATATCCAATAAATCAAAAATGCTAGAAGTAGACTTTCTGGAACAAAATGAAGAACTACAAGCAATAGACTCACAGAAATATGCATTATCAAAAGTGAAGCCTGAATCAACTGATGAAGACTTGGAATCTGTGGATGCTTTTCGACATCTAATATATAACCCAGACAAGTGTGGAGAAGACAGTTCACCTGTTCATACTAGCACTTTTCTTTCAAATTCCTTAAAAAAAAAATGTGAAGAGAGTGATTCTGAGTCACCTGCTACTTTCAGCACCGAAGAGCCATCATTCTACCCCTGTACAAAGTGCAATGTGAACTTTAGGGAGAAAAAGCACCTCCATAGGCATATGATGTATCATTTAGATGGGAATAGTCACTTTCGCCATCTTAATGTCCCAAGGCCATATGCTTGTAGAGAATGTGGACGGACATTTCGAGATCGCAACTCACTTCTAAAGCATATGATTATTCACCAAGAAAGAAGACAAAAGTTGATGGAGGAAATTCGTGAATTGAAAGAACTTCAGGATGAAGGAAGAAGTGCGCGATTACAGTGCCCTCAGTGTGTATTTGGTACCAATTGCCCTAAAACATTTGTGCAACATGCTAAAACCCATGAAAAAGATAAAAGGTACTACTGCTGTGAGGAGTGTAACTTCATGGCAGTGACAGAAAATGAATTGGAATGCCATCGAGGTGTTGCTCATGGAGCAGTGGTAAAATGCCCTATAGTCAGTTCTGATATAGCCCAGAGAAAAATGCAAAAAAAGACTTTCATGAAAGACTCTGTTACAGGGTCATCCAAAAAATCAACTACCTACATATGTAAGATGTGTCCTTTTACTACTTCAGCCAGAAGTATTTTAAAAAAACACATGGAGTACCTACATTCATCATCATGTATTGATTCATTTGGTAGTCCTCTTGGACTTGACAAAAGAAAAAGTGATATCCTTGAAGAACCTGTAGATATTGTTAGCACTAAACCATTAAGTAAACAACAGCCAACTACATTTCCAAAGAACTCTGCTCTAAAACAAGATGTAAAGCGAACATTTGGATCAGCCTCACAATCAAGTAATTTTTCAAAATTCCACAAGCGGCCACATAGAATACAAAAAGCTCGGAAAAGCATCACCCAGTCAGGTGTAAATGTGTGCAATCAAAACAATTCTCCTAAGACTGTTATGAATAAAAGCAGCATTGACCAAAAACCTAAGTATTTCCATCAAGCAGCAAAAGAAAAATCTAATGTCAAGGCAAATAGCAACTATTTATATAGACACAAATATGAAAACTACAGAATGATAAAAAAATCAGGTGAATCATATCCTGTGCATTTTAAAAAAGAAGAAACCAGTTCATTAAATTCTTTACATCTGTTTTCATCATCAGGTAACTCTCACAGTGATAGTTTTATTTCAGATTCTCATAACTCTGACACCAAAAGGCCAGAAAGTTTCAAAGAACATAGGCGTGTAGCTGTAAAGAGAGTAGTTAAGGAATCTAAGAAGGAAAGTTCTGTTGAAGGAGAAGACTTGGATAGCTATCCAGATTTTTTGCATAAAATGACAGTTGTTGTTTTGCAAAAGCTTAATTCTGCTGAAAAGAAAGATAGCTATGAAACAGAAGATGAAAGTTCTTGGGATAATGTTGAGCTAGGTGACTACACTACACAGGCCATAGAAGAAGAAACCTATAATGATATTAATCAAGAACATGTAAACATATTCCCCCTGTTTAAAAGCAAGGTAGAAGGTCAAGAGCCTGGAGAAAATACGGCTCTTAGTTATGATCAAAATGATGGCTTTTATTTTGAATATTATGAAGATACAGGAACTAATAACTTTTTGCATGATGTACATGATCCTCAGCATTTAGAAAATGCAGAAACTTCATTGTCAAAGCATAGTTCTGTTTTTCATTGGTCTGATTTGTCTCTTGAGAAGAAATCTTGTCCTTACTGCCCAGCAACATTTGAAACAGGTGTTGGGCTGTCAAATCATGTTCGGGGACATCTTCACAGAGCAGGATTAAGCTATGAAGCCCGTCATGTTGTATCACCAGAACAAATAGCCACAAGTGACAAAATGCAGCATTTCAAAAGGACTGGCACAGGAACACCTGTTAAGCGAGTTAGAAAAGGTAAGTTCTCATGTGAGTAGTTTGAGCTAATATATCTTTGTTCAAATTCAGGGGATGTTGAGGTTTTAATTTTATTCTTTATTAGAATCATATAATTCATATTTCAGAGTTAATTGGTTTTAGGGTGATCAGTTTATCAAAAATTCTGATATTTTAAACTTTTTTTTTTTTTTTTTTTTTTTAGCTATAGAGAAGTCTGAAACCACTTCTGAACACACTTGTCAGCTCTGTGGTGGTTGGTTTGATACTAAAATTGGATTATCAAATCATGTTAGAGGCCACCTGAAAAGACTGGGAAAGACCAAATGGGATGCTCACAAATCTCCAATCTGTGTTCTGAATGAGATGATGCAAAATGAAGAAAAATACGAAAAAATCTTAAAAGCATTGAACAATCGTCGTATCATTCCCAGACCATTTGTAGCTCAAAAATTTGCATCAGGTGATGACTATTTATCCCAAAATGTTATACCTCTTGAAGCGTACCGTAATGGCCTAAAGACTGAAGCTGTATCAGTGTCTGCATCAGAGGAAGATGGGCTGAGTTTCTTAAATGAATGTGTTGAAACAAAACCAGAATTGTCTGGTGGAAAAAAGTCTCTTACACTGATAGAACTTCTTAAAAATAAAAGGATGGGAGAAGAAAGGAATTCTGCTCTATCTCCTCAAAAGATCCATAATCAGACTGCAAGAAAGAGATTTGTTCAGAAATGTGTACTTCCATTAAACGAGGATAGTCCGTTGATGTATCAACCACAAAAAATGGACTTAACTATGCACTCAGGTAAGAGGACATTTATGACTGTTTTAGCATATTTAAGCACAGTTTAGTTATGCTTAATGGAAAATTTGTAGAAAATACTTCTTCTCTGAATCTTTTTATTTAAGCTGCTTTTTTTGCAGAGCACAGAATTAGTTATTATATTGTCATTTTTCTAAATAACTCAGTTGATGCTCATCAGCACCGAGTTCTGTGTGCCTCAATTCTTGGTCAGATTTTAAGGTGAGAACGAAAGAAAAAAAAAAAGCTGATCTGTAAAAATGAAACTTGGTATGGCTGGGGGATGGTTCTATGGATGGAGGTTGACTTTATTAAAAAGTATGTTGTCGTTGTTGTTAGGTTCCATCAAGTCGGTTCTGACTCATAGCGACCCTATGTACAACAGAACGAAACACTGCCCGCCTGGTCCTGCGCCATCCTCACAATCAAAAGTATAGCATTACTGAAAAGGCAAACTACTGTCTTACTTTTGCCAGTGCTCCAAAGTGATAATGTTTTCAAGATTAAGCTATTGGTTTTGCTACTGCTTAGGTAAAACAAAACAGATCCTTTAAGCTGAATGGTTTGCGTCTGCTGTATGTTGTGATTAACCCAGAGAAACTTCTCTTTCCATTTCCTTGTTGTATTGTGGGATAGTTTGGTTTTGAAGAACCGTTGTGAGTATAAAATGTATTTTTTGGGGGTATTAGAACTTATAATAGTATTCCAATGGAACAGAACAGATGGCTTAGCTTAGTGCTTGTAAACCAATAGTTTTTCCTTTTTCAAAGCTATATTTTGTTTGTGTTGGCAAATGATAAATGGCAGATTAAGTAGCCAAACTTTATTTGGTATTGCTGAGTCTGGTTAATGCTTTTAGACTAGAAGAATTTTAAGTAGCTTTATGGGTTTCTTTGGAGGTTAAGTATGTTGAACATTAACTTAAATGGTCTAATAATTAGAACCCTCAGTTGAATGTGTCTAAGGTAATAATAATTGGTCATCGGATTAATAATAAATAAAATTACTGTAAAATAATGTTGGCTTGTTTACTTTGGGCAGACATTGGGATATCCCAAATATTTGTTATACAGTTTTGGTTTAAGGAAAGAGTACTTTGTATTGTAAGTGGTCTGAAAAACAATTTATCTTGTATGGGCTTCTGGTTAATAGGGCTATTTCTTTCATATGAAGAGAGTTTTTTAAATGGCAGTAGCTTTTAGTATTTTTCAGAAGGATAAAATGTGAGGAAGATGTGTTAGCTGTGTTGACCAAGGTATAGTACACTTCAGAGAAGGAAAACATAGGTGTGGCTATCACAATAATGTTAAAAGAAACCAATTAAAATGTGTTGGGGGAGTGAGGGTTGTCTGAGAAGTTAGGGGTTGCTTATTGTTTCAACATGTTTTCTTTCCTTTGATGACTAAGATGTTAGCTTGTTGATCATTTATTTAGCACAAAGATTTTAGCAAAAAACTTTAAATCATTAACTTTCATTATTGATTGCGCATTCAGAGTAATGAACATAAGATGCCCTGAATAAAATGTTGTGTCTAACAGCTGTTCAGTGGTGTGTTTTACCACCTTTTCTCCCAGCCTTCATCAGAAAGCCTAATTTAGTATTGAGCCTTTTACAGTTTTGTGGATAAAACACTTTAATTACCACTTTGTCAACTAGACTTTTTAATTCTTCTTATTGGTAATGTTGTAAGCTTCGAAACTTCTCAACAGAACTGTGCTATTCAAATCCACAGGATTATATTTTAGGTTTAGGAAATGATCTGCGTAACACAGAAATCTGCAAGAAAGTGATAGTAAGTGTTAAATCCAGAGGGACTCAGGTTCAAGTCACTCCTCTTCCCCCTTTCCAAAGAGCATGGATTAGCTCTAAATACTAACTACAAACTAATAATAGTTAACATAATTCCCCCTCCTTATTTTAAGTTAAGCTGATTCGGTGACCGTTTTTTAAACCATCTTTATTGTGGTACTTTTCTACACGGTTTAAGCTAAGAAAATTTCACTTTTTGAAGTAGAACTGGATTATAGTTTTCTTTTGAATGATAGGTATGCCTGTGAAGCTTAGAACATGTGTGCATTGCAATACGACGTTTACAAGTGCTGTTAGCCTGTCCAACCACTTACGCGCTTATGCACGAAAGAAGAGTGCTGGACTTTTGACTGGTACAGGTATGTTTGAACAGATACACAGCAAGTCTGTCTGATACGATACACTTTTTTTCTCACCAGACTGGTGCTAATTCAGGTGATATTTATAGCATTCTTTGGTAAGCAGCAGTTGAGTCTGGATATACATTAAATTTCAGCAACTTGTAAACTGTTAGATACCATTTTAAGCCAGCTATTATTTTTTCATTTGGCTCTTATTGACTTGATTTGGGGAAAAAAAATAACCCAATAGAAGTGTGAACTTTTGAGTCTACATTATTCCCATTGATTTTTAAATTATACTATTTTTGATTTTTAAATTTATTTTTATTAGTAGATTCCAGTAAGACACCTCCCTTTGGTATTAAAAAAAAAAAAAAAGAAAAAGATTGTAGTCCTAGCATGGGGAAATGTTTTATTAGGAAAGGAAAGTGTAGTGAAATTTCAGAGATGTAGAGCTGAACTAGAAAACTAAGCAAACTGAGTTTTCATGAGTCTGTAGATCAGATATTTTTGAAGGGGCAAGCCTTAATAATGGGCCATGTTTATAGGTGGATAGATTTTTCTTTTAATGCCCCCAAACTATATTTACTATATTTAGGATTAACAGATACGCCCGTGCACATAAGTGTTAGCATGCACATTTCTGTGTTATTTTTGGTTGGTTAGCCCAGCCTTGCAGATACCTCTTCATAATGCTAGTCTGTGAAAATTTGATTAGCTTACTCATACATAATACTGCTTCTTAACCCTTGCAAAATGCTTTGCTCTTTTGTTTGTAGCCTTTCAGGCTATCCTGCTTTCAGCAAATCCCATTTCTCTCACATCTTAAAATATACCCTCTTTTCTAAATAGATCTACATAAATCCTTTTGCCTAAAATTCTCCTCTCCCAATCTTTTTTATTTCTCTTGCTCTTTTAGATCACTGCCCTCTGCTTTCTTCTAGTTGCTGTATTCCCAACTTTTCTGTTCTTCCTCATGTCTTCTTAGGACCTTCATCCAGTATATCCTTGCTGCCAAAGAAACACTTGTGTTCATAGTAATATCTTCTGCTTCTTTGCTTTATCCCCTGACTTGATATACAAATGACAAGGACAGTTGTTGACCATGTATATTAAGTGGGAGGGAGTACAGTGAATTTTACTTTACTGGGTTAATCTTCCTTTTGTAAGGTTATAATTTTTATGATATCACCCCCACATTCATCAGGCTTGGACAATAGTTGTAGACATTAGAGGCAGGAGGGCAGTGAAAGTAAGATGGTAGAAACAGGAAATCATTATGGTTATCATAGCCACTAACTTGTTGAACACTTAGTATGTGTCAGGCGCTATGCTATGCAATTTGCGTGCATAGCTTTATTTAATCTTCACAACAACCGTATGATTTGTAGGTACTATAATTCTGTCCATTTTATAGGAAACTAGCACTTAGAAAACTTAAGCAATTTTCCCAAATGTATGCAGTTAAGTTGAAATTCAAATCAAGAAAGTCTCATCCTGGACTTTTGTTCTTAATCACTGTTTTCTACAATATGCACGACATCCTTTGCTTGGATTTGACATTTTAGGAAGAAAGCAATGGAAAACCTTAAAATGTAGTTTGCATTTAAGGTGAGGAGCATTCTGGTGAAGACTGAGTAGATTAGGGTCCAGTTAGAAAGAACAAGGACCCAAGAGAGGGTTGGGCCTGGATTAGACTTTGGAGGACTTCAAAAATGTTCCATTCTGACTACTCAAGTGAATTATGCAAATATTCAGTGAGGCAGATCTCTCCTGAGATCTAGACCAGCTTTTGTTAGTCCATTTAAAAAAAAGAGAAATACTCTTGCCTCCTCTGAAGATTCTTGAAAACATAGGATTAATTGTTTATAAATAGCTAACTATTAGTAACCCTTTTTTGACCAAGGGTACATTCTAATAAGCACCTCATTATCTTAAAAATTATTACCAGAGGGAGAAGTAATATAAGATGAAAGGGGATATATTCTAGGGCATCAGGGAAAAAGGGAATATTATTTTTCAAATATTATTAAATACTAACTAGAACATCAGAAGTGCTAGAAAATACGAAGTATGTGTTTGGCAGTCCTAGGACGAAGAGAAAAGGGAAATGAAAAAGCTGAAGAAAGTCTATGGTGATAATTTCCATACTTCATGCCCATTTTTAATAAACACAAAAACCTCATGCTCCCTTTTGTTGGATATTCTGAAACATTTTCCCCTGATTTTGAAAATTATCTTGGCTAGTAAAGCTATAGAGAAGATGTCTTTGTTGCTTGTCTGTGCCAATTAAGACATTTTTTATCCAGCTTTATTAATGTCCTTTGTTTTCCAAACGGAGAATTCTATATTTATAAACTGCACATGTTTATTCTCTTCTCCTGTATCAGTATCACTGGTATAAAGCAGTGGTTCCCAGCCTTTGGTCCCAGGCGGTTCCCTGGGATTATTAAAAGGGATTTATCAAGTCATATGGGCAACAAACTTTGCTTTTTAAGTATATGTAGATGCTATTTTGATAAATAAAATGCAGTTTCATTTAAAAAAAAACAAAAAACAAAAACCTTACCTTAATCTAAGTACATCACAAAACAGGAATAATGTTAAGGGAAAATAAGTATGAATAGAGCCTCCATAAGGATGTCTAGTATCTGTGTTCCTAATTCATGTGGTCTTCATTCATATGGATTTTTGGTTACCACTGTATGCCCCAGTCTTCAAGAAAAAGCTTAGTTACTGCTAGACTAAGAGGGAAAGGCCTGTTTGGTTATCTGTGATAGGCTGAACGTCCAGGCCTTCTTAGAAGATACCAGCTCCTGAACTTTGTAAGAACTGATAACCTGTGGAGGAGA